CCCCCCCCCAATTTTCCCCATTTTTCCCTGGAAAGGAGAACAATGCCTCCTTGTTTCTGGGCCTGCTTTCCCGGGAGGGATCACGTCATTCCTTTGGAGCTCATTTCCTGCCCCATTCCCGCTGATGTAATTCCCGGGGGAACCCAAAAGAAACCGGGAGAGCTCGGAAAAAACTTCTGCCCCATCCCTTAAAAAAATTCCTAACAAAAAACCCCATGGAAAACCACCCTGGCCCGTCCAAGGAAAAGTTTTCCATCCTTTCAGAAATTTTTCCCCTCCCCTGCCGTTGTTTATTCCAAGGAATTCTTGGAAGCTCCGGAGTGAAATCCGACTCCAGGACCAACGGGGAGTTTTATGGGATTTGGATTTTCCCCTTTCCCGCTGAATTCTGCCCTGGGATGGCCCCGTTGTTTTTATAGGATCTCACACCTCCTTTTTGGGGTCAAACCTCTGGAATTCACGGGATATCGGGATCCCCACCTCTGGAATTGTCCCTGTCCCACCCCAAACTCCAGGGGGTTTTGCTGAGGCTTCCCAAAAACCCAGGGAAAATCAGCCCCAGATCAGGACAATCCCATTGGGAAAAGGTTTTTGGTTTTTCTGCCCAGCCCCTCGGTGTCCCCGGGAGCTGCCAGAGGAGATTTCCATCTGTTCCTGGGGAAAATCGGGATCATCGGCCTTGTTTGTGCAGGTGTGTGGGATCAGCGGGAAAATCCCACTGGGAGCCGTGGAAAAGTGGGAGCAGGGGAGGCCAGAAACGGAGGGAATGGGAATGGGGATGCCTGGAGGACCCAGGGGATTCCGGCTTCCCACCCCATCAATTCCATCCCAATCCCAATCCCAATCCCAATCCCAATTCCATTCACAATCCCAATTCCATTCACAATCCTAATTCCAATTCCAATTCCATTCACAATCCCTATCCCATCCCATCAATCCCAATCCCATCAATCCCATCCCATTCCCAATCCTAATTCCAATTCCATTCACAATCCCAATCCCATCAATCCCATCCCAATCCTGTTCCCAATCCCATCCCAATTCCATTCCCAATCTCAGCAATGCAATCACATTCCCAATCCCATCCAATTCCATTCACAATCCCAATCCCAACAATCCCATACCATCACTCCCATCCCAATCCCATTTCCAATTCCAATCCCTTTCCATTCCATCAATCTCAATCCCATCCCAATCCCAATTCCTTTCACAATCCCAATCCCACCCCACCAATCTCCTCCCATCAATCCCATCCCAATCCCATCCCATCTCGTCCCAATTCCATTCCCAATTCCAATTCCATTCCTAATCCCATCCCATCAATCCCAATCTCAACCCCTCCTCCATCCCCACAGAATCCCAGGATTCCCAGCCCCCGGAACCACCCCAATCCCAAATCTGACCCCACCAAAAGGAGACTTTCCTGGGAATTCCGACACCTCCCGGCCTATCTGGGGGTGACACCAAACTCCCGCTTGGTGGGACCCAAATTCCCAGTGCCCCATGGAATGCCCAAATCCCTCTTTCCTTCCAAAACCAAACCAGCGGGACCCAATCCATGGGGTCAGAGGGAGAAAATGGAGATAGGATCAGGGCGAGAAATCCCTGGAAATGGGATCAGGATCAGGATTGGGATGAGGAACACCTGGAAGTGGGATCTGGACAGGGACTGGGGCCAGGAAGTTTTGGAGATGGGATCAGGGTGAGGGAACCCCTGGAGATGGGATCTGGAGAGGGGTTGGGGTTGGGAAGCCCCTGGAGGTGGGATCAGGGATCAGAGAGCCCCTGGAGATGAGAATGGGGTGGGATTGGGGTTAGAGAACCCCTGGAGATGGGATCAAGGTGGGATTGGGGTGGGGAAATTCCTAGAGATCAGATTGAGGTAAGAAACCCAAATCTGGGCAGAGATTGGGATGAGAAATCTCCGGAGATGGGATCCGGGTCAGGACTGGGGTTGGGAAGCCCCTGTAGATGGGATGGGGATGGGATTTGGGTCAGAAATCTTTTGAAGATGGGATTGAGACGAGGAATCCCTGGAGCTAGGATCAGGGTCAGGATTGGGGTGAGGAACTCCTGGAAGTGGGATCTGGGCAGGGATTGGGGTCAGGAAGCTTTTGGAGATGGGATCAGGATGAGGAACCCCTGGAGATGGAATCAGGGAACACAAAGCCCCTGGAAATGGGATTGGGGTTGGGATCTGGGTGGGGAAAACTTTTGGGGTCTGGATCCCCTTCCCTTCCCCACCCAAGGAGCTGATCCCATCCCTCCCACCTCTGGATCAGTCCTGGAATTTTCCCAGCCCCTCTTCCCAGATTTCCCCAGCCCCCTGTTCCTCCAGAAACCCCGAGAATTCCCGCTAGAACCAGCAGGATCGGATTCCTTCCCTCATTAACCCCGGCCGGGGTCCGGCAATGCCGAACATTCCTGCCGGATCCGGCCGGGATTAGGAGGCTCCCGAGGAGCTTTGGCCGTGGAATTAATCATTAATAATTAATAATTAACAATTAAGGGCGGATCTGGCGCCAGCCATCGTTTGCTCCAATTAGGATCCCCGGGAGGTGACAGGGAGGTGACAACATTCCCAAAACACCACGAATGACTGGGAATTTGAGGGGATCAGCTGGATTCCTGGGAAATTTCTCCAGGAAAAGCGGGAAGCTCCGGGAATTTGGGTGTTCCAAATTCCCTGGCGGAGCCACCGGCACCTCGTGGGATCCTGGAAGGACACAGACGCTGCCAACAGGGAATTTGGCCGGAATCTTTCCTGGGGAATTTGGCCGGAATCTTTGCCGGGTCATCGTCGGGGCAGCTGTCCTTGGGTGTCCCTCCAGAGCCTCGGGAATTCCAGCATTCCCTGAATGTGTCCCCGAATTCCTCCCATCCTTCACCACCCCTGCACCCCATTCCCGGCTTCTCTGTGATCCCAAAAATCCCCATTGCAGAGTTTTTCCCGCAGCGTTCCCTCCCTGGCTGTGTAGGGCAGGGCTGGGCCCTTCCCACAGCCCCAAATCCTCCGGGATGGCTTTTCCCAGAAAACTGGGATGGGGCTGGGCAGGACACGGGGTCAGGCTGGGATGGGATTCCCGAGGGATGGGCTGGGAGCGGCTCCGAGGGCTCGAAAGCTCTTGGAAAGCTCAGCCCAAATCCATGGGATTTCATCGGGATGGGGAGGGAGCCACCCCTGAGTGACCCCTGAGTGACCCTGGAGTGACCAGAGCACGGATTCATCCATCCTTCCCAAAAATCTGGGAATGGAGGGTGTCCCAGCCGGGATAACCGGGATCCAGCCCTGTTCCATCCCATGGAAAACCCAAATATCCCACGGATAGCTGGGATAAACACCCCATGGATAACCGGGATCCAGCCCTGTCCCATCCCAAATACCCCATGGAAAAATGGGATCCAGCACGGAGTTATCTGGGACAGGCCTCAGGAATGCTCTGGGACACGGCACAGCCCCATCCCACAAATTTGGGATTACCTGGAGCACAGCACAGCCCCAGCCCAAAATTATGGGATGTCCCGGGACAGATCCCAGGTGTGACCTTGGACATGACATAGCCCATCCCAAAATTATGGGATGACCTGGGAAATGGCACAGCCCCATCCCACAAATCTGGGATTACCTGGCACAGATCCCAGGAATGCCCTGGGACACAGCTCAGCCTCATCCCACGAATTTGGGATTACCTGGGACACGGCACAGCCCATCCCAAAATGATGGGAAGACCCTGGATACAGCCCAGCCCCATCCCAATCCCAGCCCCCCGAGCGGGCCCTGCTCCTCCCCTCCCCACTCCCATCATTCCCAAACCCCCTGTGGTGAATCCCGGGAATTCCTCCCATCCCAAGGAAACCCCAAGGAAACCCCAAACTCACCTCTGGCCCCAAAGCTGGGCCTGTAGACGCTGCCCACGCTGAGCCGGGCTTGGCTGTCGGGCACGGCCTGAGGAATTTCGGGAACGAAGGGCTCGGGATGAGCGACCCCAAAGGATTCGGGTGCCCGGAACGGTGGCTGCGCCTCGTGGGGCGGGAACTGCGCCCCAAATCCCAGATTTTCCATGGATCCCGTCCCGGTTTGCGCCTCGGCATCGGCGTCGTGGTACAGGCTGTGCGAGTAGCGGCGATCCAGCGGCACCCCCGCGGCTCCGTAGGGCTGCGACTCCTCCCCGAAATCCTCGGGAAGCGCGCGGGGCTGGAGCGGGAACGCCACCCCCGTCCCTGTCCCTGTCCCCATCGGGGTCCCTATTCCTGTCCCCATCCCTGTCCCTAGAGGTGTCCCCATAGGTGTCCCCATAGGTGTCCCCATCCCTGTCCCCATCCCTGTCCCTATAGGTGTCCCCATCCCTGCCCCTATAGGTGTCCCCATCCCTGTCCCTATAGGTGTCCCCATCCCTGTCCCCATAGGTGTCCCCATTCCTGTCCCTATCCCTGTCCCCATCCCTGTCCCTGCCGCTACCGCGCTCCGCGACGCGGGGACACCCTCGGGGCGCTCGCCGTGCGACGCCACCCCCGCGGCGACAAACGGCGGCTGTCCCGCCGAGGCGAAGGCGAACGACGACACGGCCACCCCCGAGGCTGCGGCGCCCGCCTGCCGCCCGCGCGCCCCTTGTCGCCGCTGTCCCCCCGCGCCGTCGCCCAGCGGGCCGTCCCGCCAGTTGGGCGGCACCTGGCCGAACCCGAAGGGATGTCGCGCTTGTCCCCGCACGGTCCCCGAGGCGGGGGCCTGGCGGCGGACGCTGCCCGCTGTCGCCGCTGTCCCCGCGGTGCCCGCCAGCCACAGGCGGCTGCCCGGGGGCCGCTCCTGCCCGGCGGGCACGAACTCGGCGCCGCTGTTGAGCAGGCTGTAGAGCCGCCCGTTGTTCTCCCACTGGATCAGCTGCCGCCACGGCTCCTGCGCCGCCGCCAGCAGCAGCAGCGCGGCCCAGAGCGCCCCGAGCCGCCACAGCCCCGCCGCCATCGCCGCCGGGGTCCCCGTGTGGCTGGCACCGCTGGTGGCACCGCTGGTGGCAGCGCTGGTGGCAGCGCTGGTGCTGCTCCCCCAGCCGGGCAGCGCCGCTCGGGCCCGTCCCGCTCGGAGCGCGGGGCCGGCAGCGCCGCCGCCTCCTGCTGCTCTCCCTCCTCCTCCTCCTTTTCCTCCTCCTCCTCCTCCTCTTTTTCCTTTTTTTCCTCCTCCTTTTCTTCCTTGTGCTTCTCCTCCTCTTTCTCCTCTTTTTCCTTCTCCTCCTTCTCCAAGCCTTCCTCCCTCCACTTCCTTCTCCTTTCCTCCTCCTCCTTTTCCTTCTCCTCCTCTTTTTCCTCCTCCTCTTTTTCGTCCTCCTCCTCCTTCTCCTCCTTTTCCTAGTCCTTTTCCAAGCCTTCCTCCCTTCTCCTCCTCCTAAGACCCCGCCTCCTCCTCCTCTTTTTCCTCCTCCTCCTCCTCCTATCCCTCCTCCTCCTTTTCCAAACCTTCCTCCCTCTCCCTCTTCTTTTTCCTTCTACTCCTTCTTCTCCTTTTCCAAGCCTTCCTCCCTCCTCTTCTCCACCTCCCCTCCTCTTTTTCCTCCTCCTTTTCTTCTTCCTCCGCCTCCTCCTCCTTCTCCTCCTTCTCCAAGCCTTCCTCCTCCGACCCCGCCTCCTCCTCCTCTTTTTCCTCCTCCCCATCTCCCTCCTGCTCCTCTTCCTCCTTCTCCGAGCCTTCCTCCCTGCTCCTCCTCCTCCTCTTTTTCCTTCTCCTTCTTTTTCAAATCTTCCTCCTCTCCCTCCTCTTGTTCCTTCTCCTCCTCCTCTCCCTCCTCTTCCTCCTCCTCTTTTTCCTTCTCCCTCTTTTTCAAGCCTTCCTCCCTCTCCCTCTCCCTCCTCCTCCTCCTCCAGGAGGAATTCTGCTGGAATTCCGCGGGACTCGCTCCAAGACTCCGCTCCCAGAGCGGTTCCCGCACTCCGGAAGTGCGTCCAGGCGGGAAAAACCTTGGAATTTTCACTTTTCCCTACTTTTTAAACCCCGGATGATTTTCCGGAGTGAATTTTGGGTGGAATTCCTCGGGATTCGGTCCCGGGAAGCGCTTCCAGAGCGGATCCTGCCCTCCGGGAGAAGGCGGGTATTGCATCCAGTCGGGATAAAAAAAGTGGAATTTCGCTTTTTCCCGCTTTTTTAACCCTTCAGGGATCCCTTTTCCCTCCCAGTTCCCTCCACTTCCCGATTTTCCCCGGAAAATCCCCTGCCCGAAGGAAAACCCTGCCCAAAAAGTGGAATTTTCTTCCAGATTTTGCCCCTTTGGGCCCATTTGGGGTTTTCCTCCTGGATATTAAATCCTGAATTATGACGGAGAACGCCTGGAATTAATTGGGAATTCGGCTGGAAACTCCTTTTTTTTATTTGGGACATTTAATAAAAAATGGGATCAGAGGAGGGAATCCCCAAATTCCAAATCCCCTGGCTGGTGGGACCCCAAACCCCTCCGGATCCCCCAAGAATTCCCGGGTTTTCCCCTCTGGGAATGCCGGAGTTGATGGAGCAGGGCGGCAAATCCGGGAGAATTCCCAACCCCCCAATCCCAACCCTAAAATCCCGGATCCTAAATCCCAAATCCCCAAAGCAAATCCCAAATTTCCATGGCCAGAATGGGGAGAGGGACACGGGACTGCAATGGGGACACAGGGAGGGGACAGTGGGTCCCAGAGCCCAAATCCCGGATCTCAAATCCCGGATCCCAAATCCCAAAACCCGAGATCCCAAATCCTGGATCCCAAACCCTGAATCCCAAACCTCAAACCTCGGATCCCAAATCCCCAAAGCACAAACCCCGGATCCCAAACCACAAACTTCAAATCCCAAAACCCCAAATCCCGGATCCCAAATCCCAAATCCTGGATCCAAAACCACTAATACCAAATCCCGGATCTCATGCCTCAAATCCCAAATCCTGGATCCCAAATCTCGAATCCCAAACCCCAGATCCCAAATCCCCAAACCCCAAATCCCGGATCCCAAACCCCAAATCCAAAACCATAGCTCTTAAATCCTGGATCCCAAATCCCAGTCCCCGAACCCTGGATCCCAAATCCCCAAACCCCAAAACCCCAAACCCTGAATCCCAAATCCCAAACTCCACGGGTGTCACCGCCGCCAGGGGGAGCCAGCAGCCCGCGCTGGACCAGCCAATCCCGGAGAAACCCGGGAATTTTTGGGCTCGGGATTTCTCGGTATAGCGAGACCGGGGAATCCCCAAATCCGGTCTGGAATTGGGGAATCGCCTCCGTCCCGGCATTCCCGGCCGGAATTCTCCATGTTCCAGAAGGTTCTGGGGCTCTGGAAGGTTCTGATCTCAACATCTGGGCAGGAGAAATTCCCAGATCCAGGGGGTGGAGAGGATTCCTAAATCCCCCAATCCCAAATCCCCAATCCCGAATTCCCAAATCCCCAAATCCCCAATCCCAAATCCCAATCCCCATTCCCAAATCCCCAATCTCCAATCACAAATCTCAAATCAAAAATCCCAAATCTCCAAATCCTCAATCCCTAATCCCAAATCCCCAAATCTCCAAATCCCCAAATCCCAAATCCCCAAGTCCAGCCCAACATCTGGAGAGAACAAATCCCATTTCCAGGGGCTCCAGAAGATCCCGATCCCAACATCTGGACAAGGATCTGATCCCAACATCTGGAGAGATCAAATCCTATTGTCCAGGGCCTGCAGAAGATCCTGATCCCGACATCTGGACAGAACAAATTCCCAGATCCAGGCGACCCAGAAGGATCTTATCCCAACATCTGGGCAGGAGACATTCCCAGCATCTGGAGAGAACAAATCCCATTATTCAGGGACTCCAGAAGATCCCGATCCAAACATCTGGGCAGGAGAAATTCCCAGATCCTGCAGAACATCAAGATCAAGCGCGGTGGCCGTGAGCTCCATCTCGTGGGGTCCCCGACACGAGGGGACAGCGCGGTGGCTGCAGGGTCCATCCTGTGGAATCCTGGCTTGGCTCAGCTCAGAGTGGCCTCGAAGGTGTCGGTGTCCCCTGTCCCCGCTCTCACCAGAGCCAGGCTGTGTTCCCGCAGGCGCGTCCCCAACTCCTGCTGCTCCCGGGCCCGGCTCCGGGCATCCTCCTGCAGCTGGGACAGACCCAAACAGGCTGGGACAGACCCCAAAATGGGCTGGGACCCCAAATCGGGCTGGGGACCCCAAAACGGGCTGGGACAGACCCCAAAATGGGCTAGGACAGAAACCAAAACAGACAGAGGGACCCCAAACTGGGCTGGGAACCCTAAACCACATTGGGGGAATCAAACCGGGCCCGGGGACCCAAACTGGGCTGGGACAGACCCCAAACCGCCATGGGGAACCCAAAATGGGCTGGGGGACCCCAAAAGGGGCTCTGGGACCCAAAACTGTGCTGGGACAGACCCCAAACAGCGATGGGGACCCCAAAAGGGGCTGAGGACCCCAAACTGTGCTGGGACAGACCCCAAACCGCGATGGGGGACTCCAAACCAGGCTGGGGACGCCAAACCCGGCAGGGGGACCCCAAACCATGCTAAGTGACCCCAAAACAGACTGGGTGATCCCAAACCACGCTGGATGATCCCAAAAACATGCTGCGTGATCCCAAACAAGCTACTTGACCCCAAACCCCTCTGGGTGACCCCAAAACCCTCTGGGTGACCCCAAAACCCTCTGGATGACCCTTCCCCACCCCGCGCTGCCCACCTGGCAGCCGGGCCAGGCTGTGCCGCAGGTGCCCGTTCTCGGCCTCCAGGCTGGCGACGCGGCGGCGCAGGGACAGAAGGTCCCCGGCCATCCTCTGCAGCGCCAGATGGTGGCTGCCACTGCCCTGGGGACCAGAGCAGAGCTGGCACTGCCAGACAGCCCAAGCACAGCCTGGACAGGGATGTCCCCCTGCACAGGGATGGGATGTGCCCCCGGTCCCAAGAATTGGCTTGGGATGAGGGTCAGACACACCGTGGGGGAGCTGAGAGATCTGCAGATTGTCCCCAGTTCTTGTCATCATCCACCATCCATCCACCCATCCATCATCCATCCATCCTCATCCATCCATCCATCATCCATCCATCCATCCATCCATCCATCCATCCATCCATCATCCATCCATCCATCCATCCATCCATCCATCCACCCTCCTTTCTCTCCTTCCCAACCTTCCCAACCTTCTCCTCTCCTTCCACTTCCTCATCTCCCTCTTTTCTCTTTTTTCCCACCCACCCCCTGTGGAATCTCCCAGGGATGTGGGGTTGGACCTGGACCCCCAAACTCAGAGCTTTTTGTGGCTTTCCAGCTCTTTAACAGGG